TATTTAAATTTGAAACTATTATTGGAACTTGAAGTGGTACGCCCTTGTGAACCGTTGGATTGGACATATCACAGTCGTTGGTTGCTTAAGTCCTCTGCTTATATATAGGGGGCCCCTTGGGGGGTCCCATTTGCACAGTCTCTTGGAGTTTTGGAGTAGTAGAAGTGAGAGGGGTCAGAGAGCTCAGCAAACACAAGTGTGGTCGGCGAGGTTGGTCTAGTTTTTTCTTAGTCTTGTAAGTGAGTCATTTTTCTCTTTTCCTTCTAGTATTTATATCTTCCTATGAGTCAGAGGGGGAGTATTTCTAGGTTGCTTAAGCTGAGGAGGGAACCTTGGCTCAAGAGTGGCGAGGATCCCAGAAAGGGGTTTCGACTTCTCAATGCCAGCCAAAGACTAGGTCAGAGTTGGGACCCATCGAGTTGAGTGGTGAGGAGATATTAGATTTAATCAATACCTACTACAAATTGGATATTTATAACTATATACAACCTAGAAAGAACTAGTTCCCTTAGAGTTATGGATGAATTGATGTCTATATCTTTAAGGAGGCCTTGGTGGCTGGACTCCCTCTCCATCCTTTTATCTGTGAGGTGCTTAGATTTTACAACGTCAACTTAGGTAAACTCCATTCCAACTCCATTAGTTCCACTGTTGGTATCATCTCCTTTTGCCATGGCTTTGACTATCTCTAATTTGTCGATAACTTCTCAGGGCTCTGCCAAGTAAAAAGGATGCATGGTGAGCCCTACTGCTTTTACTTATGCTACCAAGCTAGCTTCAAACACCTGGGTGGCTTCCTTGTTAAGGTGGTGCATTGCAAGAGGAGGTTCTTCTTCTTGTCTCAAGAGAATGACTGACGTATGGGCACCCTGGAGGACCGACCTAAGAGGTCCCGAAAGTTAAATTCAATGAGGAACTACTGAACGAGGTACAATTTCTTCTTGGTAGAAAATCATTGGTCAATGAGTTTCTAACCTAGGTGATGTTTATCCGAATTGGTCTGAGCCCTTAGGATAGGCCGCCCTTGTTATACTTAGCTTTTTCTTGGTTTACCATGCTTTATTGCTTTGGTTGACTTTTCCTTGTTCCTGTGGTAGATATGTCCACCACCTCATCTATCCTGAATGCTGCTAAGAAACCCTCCAAGAGAAAGAGAAGAGTCGATGACTCTTCCCATATGTTGGCAATGGAGAAGTGGTCAACAGAAAGGAGGTCAGCCAAAAGGGAGCATGATATGGTGAACTTGGAGGAGGAAGGCAGAGACAAGATGTATGGTGATGCCCCATGTCCCTATGCCCAACCCTACCCTTGAAGCCTCCAGCTCACATGGTTCTACTTTCATTCCTCACTGGTGCATTTCTATAACAGACTGGATATGGGATCCTCGATCACCCTTGAAGTCAGGGGGAATCCTCCTTTCCAAAGATGTTTGGGTCTATGGAGACTAGGCCTCTATAGAACTTGATACGAGAATTATTCAGCATATCCTCTCAATAAGCATCTCTTTGTTGGATACTTATACATGCCTTCCATCGGTATTAACTACTCTACTTCTAGTGTTCTTAAGCCAACACCATGGGCCAAATCCTATTGGATTGAGTTGCTATCTCGGAGAGTACCGCCGATATGTTGAAGGCTAATATGTAGAGTCCCTCCAATCTCAGTAGGAGGGTGCTCAGCTTAAGGTAGAGGAAGATTGTTGGCAACTCGGCAACACCAACGCCGGCTTGACACGAGAACTAGAGGAGGCTAAGGCTAGGATGCAACATTATGATCAAGACATCACCAACCTGACCAGAAAGGTGCAGCAGCGAACTCGATAACTTGAGGAGAGGCGGAGAAAGCAATCTGAGGACATCCATCGAGCTCAGGGTTTAGCCATTGAAGAGTTTCATTGCTCGCCCGAGTATTTCTAAGAGAGAAGGTGGAATTTGCTACGCCCACCCTCTAAAAGGGCTTCAAGCTATGCCACCACTTCCTCAAGTTCCTCCATTCACATTTTGACTTTGGCATAGTGTCCATTAGGTCAGTCCCCAAACCGATAGCCAATGAGGTTGATGCAAAGCTGGAGACTGGGGGGAGGATGATGAATAGGGTGACAAGAATGATGCCGATGAGGGTGTTGGCAGCAACAACGGTGAGGACGAGTAGTGGTCTTAACTGATTGATTGAATTTTTTTTCTGCTTAAGTGTATCCTAGGCCTATGTGCTCGATAGATTCTTTTTCTCTCCTTTTTTAAAGTATCATTATTCTTTTCTTCATCGACTATCGACCAATAGCTCTTTTCATTAGGGCCATCCATAGATGGTGAACGAAAAGAAACAATATATTTGAAGCAATTTGGACCAAGATGAGTAATTTTAAGCCTATGGTACAGAAGATCTTGAATAAGTCCATAGGAACTTTCAAAGATAAAATACATATGTTGTATGAACAAACTATTTGTTGGAGGTGAATTATGTAACCAAATTTTTGTAGAGATATTAATACAAATGAAAAGAAACTAAATGAAACCCAATATAATGTTGCTGAGGAGACAAAGCTCCAATGTGAACTTGATAAACTACTGGAGTTAGAGGAACTCTATTGCAAGTAATGGGCCCATGTGGATTGGTTGAAAGAGGGGGATAAACAAACTGGGTAAGACAATAATGGTTAATGGATCTCTGACCCTTTAACTATTTCAGATTTTTCTAGAGATTTCTTTTCAACCTATTCACAAATCCAATGTTGGATCTATTTAAGACTACTCTCATTTATCAGCAAATCATGAGTGATATGACTTCGACCCTTGTAAATCCCCTACAGCTGAGGAGGTGAAGAAGGCAGCTCCAATAGCTACTACGGTGATGGAGTTCATGATGTGGGGTTTCTCAGCGATGACTTCACTCTCAAGAAAGAGTTGGTTCTATTTGTCCCTTGTTGGGGCAAAGCTTCACTTCAATTTTGTTTAAAACTATTTGGACTGAACAAATTCGAGTAATTCATAAAAAACTCAATTTTTGTCTACCCCTATTCAGTGAGAACTCAAAAGATATAGGCACTATTTGTTACGGTTTCTATTTATTTGATAAATTGTGTCTCATCATTGCTAAATCAGCATTTATTCCATCATGTCAATTTATAGGCAGGTATTGACAAAAGTTGGTCTTGATTTATATGCACACCAACTGTGGGGAAAGCTTCATTTTAACGCTTCTCCCAATGGTTAAGCATTTATTCACTATTCCATTGATGTAGCGCTTAATGACACACAGTGGCATCTAGTCATCAACAAATCCTAAAAAAACGTTTACCAACCACTTTTTTTCGGTTTTGAAAACAAATCAAATACAAACCTTTAATTAATAAACGGAATCCATGCCAAACATATACATAATAACACCTCTCCCATATCAATTCACCCAAATGACTTGAAAGTAAAATTTTAAATTAGTATCAAATATATTTGTTGAATACTTATTAGTGTATTCTTCACCAAGTGTTCCTATTAATCGTCCGTTTTATCAAAAGCTTTTGACTTTTATTCTCAATGAGCATAGTGGTTGAGAATACAGTGATCTCATTCCACCATGCAATTTTTTTAATTGACACTACAAGAAAATAGACCTATAGTTACGGATAAAACCGTAGCTATAAATGCAAAAAATCGTAGCTATAAGTCTATAGCTACAAACTGGCTACGGTCAAGAAATGGTAGCTATAGTCACGGTGGCTATAGGCAATAGCTACGGCTGACCGCATCCATAGCTACAACTAACCTATAGCTATGGTTTTTGCTTGTAATCTGCAATAGACCTGTCCATACTTCTTCAAAAAATATTTAAGAGGGGTAAGTAAACTTCATATACCCCCTCTATAGTAGGGGGGTCCCATCAAGTCGTACATCTCTTTCCTCACAATTTCTCAGATTCTTAAAGAAAACTAAATAATTCTTAAACTACTTGACCAATGACACGGAAAATTTAAGCATAAATGCACTATTGTCACGGGAGTAGTTCTGCAACAGAAGAAACCCGTGCAGCGTCCAGACTAAGGTAGGCCAGGACAAGCCTTTGTGTGCTTGGAGGCTAGGAGTTGTCCGAAGAGATGGCTCCACCAAGGTTAGTAGCACTGGATCATGACCTCAAGTCACATGGCGGGGGCATTCGGTTGGTTCTGGCCGGTCCATGGGAGGCGCCCCTTACGTTCTAAAGGGGGAAGGCCATGATGTGAGGTGACTGTGCACCGAAGAGGTGATTGGGCACCGATGTGAAGGGACTCCTGAACGCCGATGATGATGGGCACCTGTGTGCCATGTTGAGAGGCAACCGCTTTGGCCGGAACACACCTGTGCGCTAGGGGCAACGAGATAGCTCAATCAGCTTAGGCAATGGGCTGGCGTGGTGAAGGGTCATGCTTGAGTCAGGCCCACATGCCAAGCTTCCCTTGAGTGTCGGTAGCGCAGTATCGGTCCATGCACTGTCCCCATGAGCATGTGTGCACCCATGTGGAATCCTAGTAGCCATGCTAGTCATTAACTAGGGCCACCCGCAAGGGAAGTTGGTCTAAGAGTGCCAAGGTTAGGCACCTAAGGAGGTCGACTACCCCTCTTCAAAGAGTACATTATGATTTTGGTGGTATGCCTGAAGATAACATCAATTTTTCCAAAAATCTTATAGGCGAAAATGACGGTGATGTTCCTTAACGTAAGCCTGACAAGCGTAAGTAAGGCTAAGCATGTGTCAGACCGTAACACTATGGCTAGAAAATTCAAACTACTGAACCCCACGTACAATGATCAAAATGACAATGCAACTATTTTTCAAAAATTCAGAAATTCATAAATTCCAGTTTTGACTCTTCAACTTCTCCATCACCATCACTTGTTCAATGTAAGGGGGTTCAAAAACACAAGAAGCAATTTCGGACTTGGAGATAAAAAACGACTTACAATAAATTAAGTGCAAAAATTGTTGGGAAATTTACACATTTTATTTCACATGTACAAAGTGCATTTCTGAAATTTTTGTCTATAGTTGCTTGAAATATATGCTGCAAGCGGTTTCTGAATGCCCTGAAACAAAAAGGATCAAATGTAGAAATGAGAACAAGGAATTGTTTAAGAACAGTTCATAGACTATATCAAAGATTTGAAGCCTTGGCTCATCTACATCTAGGTGATCATGACGATTGAAACTGCCTATTTGATTCATTTCTGTACACAGAACAGGTCTAATAATTCATAGGGGTGCAACTTGTGCGGGCCCAATCCAAGCTCGATCGGACCAATCCAACAGGTAATTTTACATGAGTTGAACTTGAATTTTTAGTAATCAGCCATAGCTCAAAAGATAGGATTTCTTTTTTCTTTTTCAAACTGGGGTCAGGCCTAGGCCCTTAGGAAGCCTGAACTCAACCTAAGTCTGTTTCAACCTCATCCCAAACTGAGCTCCGCCAGATTATATGCATATTATACATATGCTTATATCTACTTTTAGTGTAAGCTGACTTCAAACTTCAATGCAGGCTGGACTCGGGTTGAACAGTTTGAGCTTAACCTGAGGTTTGGTCCAGGCTCAACCTAATTCTTAGGGTTGGTCCTGGGTTGAGTTAAAACCCAGCCCAGCCCGTCCGATTAGCAACTATAACAATTCATGATTACCGTCTTACATCTCCGACGTTTCATTTAGATTTAAATAAAATTTCAGGCCATAACTAATAATAATTAAGAAACCTTACAAGTCAAATTAGACAAACAAAGCATACCTCAATCTAGAAAGGCAAGGTTATTTGTGGCTATCTCTCAGCAACCTTTCCATTAGGACTCTTGACTCCAACCCATTTGTCCCACTCAATTCACCCATACCCACCCATTCTATTGGTGGGTCAATATGGGTCGAGCAATCCACTGGGGTCAGTGAAAAAGGGTTAGGGTGGGTTGGGTTGAGCTACCCATTAGGGTTAGGATGGGTTGGGTTGAAAGGGTCAAGGGTTGGGCCGACGATTTCGTCAAGCCTCACAATAAGAAGTGCGTTAATTTGAGTTGATTTTTTATATTATATTTTTATAAATTTATAAATTTATAAATTTTAATTCATATTTTATAAATCTCTAAGTTAATATTATATTTTTATAAATTAAAAAAGTAAAATAAAATAACAACAGATATAATAATTAAAATATAATAGGTGGATATATTTAGTGTCTTGGACTCTTGATTGACCCATTATAAATAAAATTATATGACAGCTACGCATCCCAATATACAAATTGTAATATATTGCTTCTTATATATCATTAAAACTTACATTTTCCATGTACTTATATACTATTTTATGATTATTTTGATCTTAATTTTAGTGTTATTAATGTATTTAAAAAAATGTGTGTATTTTCCTAGCATATCCATACGTTTTCATATTTTTTATCCATATCCATGCATTTCCAAAGTGTATCCGTATTCGTGTTATTTGATATAATACCCGATACTCGATACCAATACTTTAATCCTTGACTTTAGTAATTTGAAAATCTCTGTTCAGGTCGAAAGTGTCTGAGTAAAGGTTGAGCCCTCCTCCTACCATTTTTGTCGTGTTTTTATGGTATGTTTTCATGTTTTCTAGTGTTTTCATGCATTTTCTACAATTTTTTATTTTTTTTCATTTTCTAATTTTTCTAATTTTTGGTATTTTTTGCAAATTTCTAGTATTTTTCTGCATTCTCTGAAATTTCCTGGTATTTTAATCCATAATTTTTGCAATTTTTTGCTATTTTATGTTATTTTTTGCAATTTTCTGTATTTTTCTACAATTTTTTAGTATTGTTTTCTGAATTTTTGTAAATTTCTGGTACATGGGTTGACCCGATCCGTCTCTATATATAGGTGAGGTAGGTGGGTTACTATGGGTGAGGATAGGTAATGATCAATATGGATGAGTCAAGTGGGTCAATATGGATGGGTTTGGATGACCAAGGGTTTGGGTGGGTATGATTAGGGGTGTCAATTGGACTGGGTTTGGTTCAATCCGGTCAAGTCCAATCTAAGTCCATTACAAATGGACTTGGTCCAATCCAGTCCAATGAATATTTTGGACCGGTCCAGAGGTTGTCCAATCTGTTCAAATTCCTATTAATTTAGATTGGTTTCTGATGCAGCGCGATCCGGGCACTCCTAGCTGGCGGCTGGCTGGCTCCTTGACAGTCAACACGCGGCACCTGAGAAGATGAAAGGAAGGATTCCCGGGGACCTGCCCGGTGGGAATACTCCGACGCTTAAGTTAGTACTGTGTATGGGGAGTAAAGAGAGAAAACGAGAGCTAAGAGTGGAGGTCGCGCTTTATCACTATATTTGAGAGGTTAGAGGTCTCAACCGAGAGAGAGCTTCTCCTTTGCCTTGAGGGCTTTTATAGGAGCGCTCTTGCGAGATCGGGCATAACCGCCACTGGGTCCCTACCACAGCTGTTACCTGCCAGGGCTGAACAGGTGGCCATTGGGGTGTACTCCTTACTCGGGCGAGTGACACATCCCCATAGTGACAGGCACGCCTCCGCCTACTGAGAGACGTGGGCGCAGACTGTCGAAAGGACAGGGACTGCACCATCAGTTAGGGGCGTGGCCCAGTCCGATGGGTACGGCTTATTAAATTGAAGCTTCCTGAGGAATGCTTGTGTGACCCATTCGCGAGCTACTTTGCAATGAGCTTCAAATACTTCGGAAGTACCCTTAGTAGAATTGGTTCTCGGATGACTTGCCTTGTTCGGGAGCTCAGGCGAGCCGGCTTTCTTAGCTCGCAAGTTAAAGTTTTCCTCGGAATATCCCTTGAGGTAACTCGGGGGACCCGGAATCCGCATTGTGGCGAGCCCCTCCTTTACCCCGCTACCATGTAGCGAGCTGCTTTATGGGTCTATCACTTAGCCGTACTGAACCACGATACTGAGTTGTCGCTTACGCTGAGTCAGCGTCCACGTGTCGTTGTTTCATAGGTCGAATCAAATTGTCCTTCATCAATTGCCCCCCACTCCTCGGGCTAAGAGTGCCGCCTTAGCGCGGGGAGTTTATGTAGCTCGATGGACTGATTTGACCGAAATTCAAACTTGATTGACTATCTTCAATAAATGCATTTGTGGGAATCAAGAGATCTTCTGATTTCTCTGATTTTTCAGATTCTGAAAACGTGCTGAGGTGGCCTTTAATTCCGAATGTCGTGCAGCTGCGACTACCTTAAACGTGGAAGACGTGCCGCCAATCGCGTTCGGTTTTCAGGAGGCATGCGGTCAGGGCGCCCACAGACTGTTGGATCTACTTTGATCCGGGCCGTCGGTTTGAGAGGGCGAGGGCTATAAATGGGGGCCCCCATCGGCCCTATCTCCGTCCACGCCATCTTGCTTTGGGCTCTGAGGTCGCGTACTTCGCTTAGTCTACTCGAGTTTCTCAGTCTGCT